TGATCTAGCTCACTCATTTCATGTTTGAGAAGTTCTTGTTAGCACAATACAAGATGCATGTCATTCCATTTTTATGGTCATGAAGAAACAGAGGGAAGGATTATAGTCAGGGAATTTTGGGTAACCACATCACACATTCAGTCTTTTCCCCACCACAAAACAATCTTGCTTCTTGGAGACAGCAAGAAATAAACTTATTTTCTAAGTAGAAATCTGAGTCATATATTTCATTTAAGGGAAAAATTCACAAAGCCAGGTTGCTGCCTTCAATAGAGGGCAATTTTTCATCAGCTTGGTCTGTCAGATCCATTTTATTTCACAAATTGGACAGCCAAATCTTTGTATTCTCTATCAGCCATAAGAAAATGGTATTCTTTTGGCTGGTGATATTGGGCTTTATTTTTGGACATTCATTTTATCAAAGATGAGGAAAAAGACCTTGACAGTATTGAACATTTTCAAAGGCACATGATATTTATAAAGGATAAGGGCAGCACAAAAGTTAAAACTTGTGATAGATATTATTTCATGAACCTAAGGCTACCTTTGAAATAAATCAGAAATGCAAAACACAAATATTTGTTGAGGGCTTGCCATGTACCAGTAGATGACGTGGATAATTTCTACCTATCATCTTCAATACTGACTAAATCCACTATGCTGATGGTTTTATGCCATTTTAAAGATGATAAAACCGGGCTAAAAATAGATTAGTAATTGTCCCAAGGTGATACAGAGGGCAAATGAGAGCAATGAAAGAGATATCTTGATAGAAGGGACCATTTAGGGGTTAGGGAGAAACCTGATGCCAGGAAAACTCCCAGGAATCCACAAGAATAACCCCAGCTTAGGCTCCTAGCAATAGTAGAGAGGATGCCTGAACTGGCCTTCTCCTGTAATCAAATTGGTGACTGCCCTAACTGTGATCAGAGAACCTCCATCCAGTAACTGATAGAAGCAGATGCAGGTCTACAGCCAAGCACTGGGCAGAGCTCTAGGAGTCCAGTTGAAGAGAGGGAAGAAGGACTGACTTTACCAGTAAAAGGGTCAAGATCATGACAGGGGATGGGGGGGACCCACAGAGACAGCTGACCTGAGCTAATGAAAACTCATGAACTCTAGACAGATAGCTAGGGAGCCTGCATGAAACCAACCTAGGCCCTCTATATGTGTGTGACAGTTGTGTAGCTTGGTTTGTTTGTGGGGCTTCTAACAATGGGATCAGGACCTGTCCCTGGTGCATGAGTTGGCTTTTGGGAGCCTGTTCCCCATGCTGGATTACCTTGCCCAGCCTTGATACAGTGGGGCCCCATGGGGGTGGGGGGGAACAGGTTGGCCCCACCTGAACTTGATGTGCCAGGCTTTTGTTCAAGCCCAAGGGAGGCCTGCCCTTTTCTAAAAGGAGGAGGAGTGGATTGGGGAGAATAAAGGGGAAGTAGGGGGAAGGGACAGGAAGAGAGGATGGAGGAGAAACTGTGATTGGCATGTAAAATAAATGAAAAAAATAATAACAAAAAAGAGAAAGGAAACCAGGATGCAAATCCTGCCCTCCAGGCTTAAAAACCTCAAACTCTGAATGACTTACAATGAACAACACAAGTCCCATGAGCACTTTATACATTTGCCAATTACAGTGCTTGTCACAGGAAGATTCTGAATTGTCTTTTCCAGAACTTAGAAATATACAAGAATCCTGTTACTTGTTTTACAAAGTGAATACAACCGTTGTAACGGAATTAGATAAAACTTTCCCACAAAAAGCCATAGAAACATGAATCATAAGCACAAGACACAAATACATGAAACAAAGCACTGAGTGAATTTTAGCCATTCACAAATAAGATTTATTTCAAAATTATGAGTTTAGTTCAGCATGAGGAAATCTAAAGAAGGTTAAAGACAGTCCTGTTAAATAGCAAAAAGTCTTTTTCCTGGAACAAGCCCTTTTGTACACTAGGAAACAGTAAGAAATACTATCATAACTATCAGAAAAAGACTATACACACATGTCAGGTGACACAAAGTAGATCCACTACTTCTCAAGGTAGGAATAAAAAATTTATACCCTTTATTGCTGATTTTAGTCAACACCATTCTGAGGATTCTAAGCAAAAGACAAGCAGGGAGAGAAGGAAGAAAATGTATAACTCTTTCTTAACTTTATGATTAAATATCTAAAAGTCTCAGAGAAGCTACCAAAAATCTACTGACAAATCTAATGAAATGTAGCATAAATATAATAAAGCTTGCTTTTATTATCAAGAGTTATCAGTCTTTGGGCTGGAGAGATGGCTCAGCAGTTAAGAGCACTGACTGCTCTTCCATAGCACCCAGGTTCAATTCCCAGCAACCACATGGCAGCTCGCAACTGTCTGTAACTCCAAGATCCACCACCCTCACATAGACAGACATACATGCAGGCAAAACACCGATGCACATAAAATAAAAATAAATTAATTATAAAAAATAAGGTGTTGAACCAAAGAGTTGTCAGTCTTCATCCATAAATATCTGAGAGTAAATACCTTGGGCTGTGCTGGCCGTATACCTTCTCCTGCAACTTCTCAAATTTACCACTGCTGCACAAAGGCAGCCATTGACTATGTGTACCTCAGTAAAGATGGCTGTGCCCCAGTAAAACCATGTTCACAACAGGAAAGTGGGCTGGATGGGACTCATCAGTCACAGTTTGCTGAGACTATACATCACACACACACACACACTTGTTCCGATAAACATGAAAACACAAGCACACACACCACCACACCACATATACACATGAGGAAAAAAATTAAAATTTTCATTTTTAAGAGAAATGAACAGAGTAACTATGTTTTGCTCAACAATTTGCTCTCAATTCTATGAATTCTGTAGCAGTTCACAGACCATTTCTCATCTTTTAGTTAGAGATCCCTTGAGCAAAACTCTTGCTCCAAAATTATTTATGTTAAAGTTCATAACAGTAGTAAAATTACAGTTATGAAATAGCAATGAAAATAACTTTAAGGTTGGGGATCACAACAACATGAGAAACTGTATCAAAGTGTCACAGCATTAGAAGGGTTGAGAACCACTGTCGTAGACAGTGTCCTCCTCAAACAAATCATACCAATTCTGCTTACAAATTTTATATTAAAACATCACTAACATAAAAAGAGCATCTACCCCCCCCCAGACTGATAGCTGGGAAACCAGCATGGGACTGACTCAGGCCCCCCTGAACATGGGTCTCAGCCAGAAGGACTGAGCAGTCTAAGGGACCTCAGACAGTGGAGGATGTATTCCTGGTGCACAAAAGAACCTTGCGAACACATCCCCCATGGAGGGATACTGCCTTAAACTAGAGACAGGAGAGAAGTCCTAATCTCTACTTCAAATGAACTGTCAGATCTACATGATCCCACCAGGATGGCATTGCCCTACATGTGGAATTGGGGTGGGGGGATGGGAGGGGAGGGTGGTCAGGGTACATGTGAGAGGGCAGAGAGGGTAAAAATGAAGGAGGGAGGGAGGGAGGAAGGGGGAACTGGGGCAGAGAGGGTAAAAATGAAGGAGGGAGGAGCTGAAGAGATGAGTAGTGATTAACAGCACTCATTACTCTTACATAGGTCCAGGGTTCAATTTGCAGCACACACATAGTGGCTCACACACATCCTTAATGGGAGTCCTAGGAAATCAAATACCTTTTCTGATTTCTGCAGACACCAGGAAAGCATGTGATGCACATAAATGCATGGAGGCAAAACACTCATATACATAAAATAAAAAAAAAAGTATTTTTACAAAACTCTTACAGAGAAATATCTATTAGTCTATCAATTCAGTGCTTGAGGTGCTATTTATGGCTCCACAGCACAGGAATCTCATCTGTTAGGTTAGAAGAAACCCCTGACATTCTACAAAACTCTTATTCATAATCTATCAAGACTAAATTTAAGCATCCCAATTTTAAAAATAAGCTTATGTGATTTATGTATATTAGAGAAAATATATTTTCCTTAAAATTAAAATAGGTTTCTAATTATTTTGCCAATGGTTTCACATTATATTAAAATATATAAATTTGTACATGTTTATTATCCATGTACTTAAAATCTTGGAAAATAAAGATGGGAAAGAAAAAAAATATGATTCTTCTCCTGAGCATATTGAGAGTGGGGGGGTGCAGTGAGTGGAGAGCGAGCTAGGAGAAAGAGAAGGGGAGGAGAGGAAAGCACGTGGGACAAGGAAGATTGAGTCAGGGGAGGAATAGATGAGAGAGAGAGAGAGAGAGAGAGAGAGAGAGAGAGAGAGAGAGAGAGACCATAAAAGTGGGAGCCAGTATAGGTTTGAAGAGAAAACTGAATCTAGATAAATGTCTAGAGACCTATAAGACTGACCCCAACTAACAATTTGAGCAAGAGTGGAAAGGCTACCATAAATGCCCTTACCTGATAATGAGATTGATGACTAACGTATCTACCATCATAGAGCCCTCATCTAATTACTGATGGAAACAGAAGCAGGCACCCACAGCTAAACACAGAGCTGAACTAGAATCCAGATGCAGAGAGGGAAGACAAGGCCAGGCTACAAAAACCCACAGAGACAGCTGCACTGAACAAGGAGGAGTCAATGAGCCTCCAGACTGATACCTGGGAATCCAGCATTGAACCTACTCAGACCCCCTGAATGTGGGTCTCAGTTAGAAGGTCTGGGAAGTCTAAGAGACCTCTGACAGAGGAACCAGGACGTATCCCTGGTGCACAAAATGACTTTGGGAGCACATTCCCCACGGAGGGGTACTCCCTTAACCTAGAGGCAGAAGGGAAGGCCTAGTCCCTAATCCAAATGACTTGACAGATTTTGTTGATCCCTCCTAGAAGGCATCACCCTACAGGTGTAGTGTGGGGGAAATGGAATGGGAGGGTGGTCAGGGGGCATGGAAGGGAGGGAGGGAAGAGGAACTGGGATTGATATGTAAAATTAGAAAAAATAAATAAATAAAAAAAGAAACTTACCCTTCAACTTGAGGTCAACATTGTGTCTCAGCCAAGGATAAACCCCATAGCTTGGCATATCTTCAGGAATTGGGTTATTGCTTATCCAGCCATCACAGGCAAATCGAAAGAAATTTTCACAAGGATCCACAGAAAGATTTACTTTGCTCATGATGGCAGCAGCTATTTCAAAAGAAAATCATAGGATTAACGATAAGCACTCTACATTGTCTACTGTTCTTTTCCAGATCAAACCAAAGTCTCACATCAACCAGTTCCCAAACCCTGGCTTCAATATTTCTCCACAAATATCTTTCTGGATGAACTTTACCATATAAAATGACTATCTTCAACATGTACAGGAGAAAGGTGGGTGAAATTACTGGTCCTAGTTTTGTCAGATTGTCCACAATATCTTTGGGGGTATGGAATAACTGTTGTTCTTTCTCCCATTCTATATATTCCCCTGCAAAGTAAGTTGGTTACTCTTCCTCTGGAACAATAAAATCCATCTGCCCAGTTTCAAGTAGATTCACTGGGCTCTCTCTGTCATTTTCTTTGATCAACAGAAGTGATAGGAATGGCTTCTTGTGATTTTCCAAGCTAAGTATCTAATAAATCTTGAACCCTCTCTGCTGGATCCCTTCAAATGGAGCTTTGGGGCCATTCTTTGAAGATGTCTTCCTGGAAAGTAAGAGGTTGGCCTCAATCTCATAGCCATTCTCCTGCCTCAGCCGCCCAAGTCCTGGGAATACAGCTAAGAGGCACTACACTTGGCTACATCTATGGGCTTTAAAAATTATTACAAAATGAAACAAAGAGAGGGTTCCAATATTCCTAATACTCACCTCTAACTGTCTTCCAGCTGCAACACAATTTCTGGCTGCAAAGATGTGCACCAACTAATTTTTTAAAAGACTGCCAATATTTTAATGACATTGGAAGGGTGACACTCTGAGCAATTTTCATACCTTAATTAATGCCAGAATACATTTCTCCTCAAAGTAATGAAAACTCAATGAGTTTTTAGCTAAATAAGAATGAATGGCCCACCCCAGTACAATCTACATACATTTAAAGATGTTTTGGTTATGTGGGCAGTTCCTCTGAGTTAAAAAAAAAAATAAGGTTAGATGTTTCTCTACCTACCATTCTTATGGGAAAGGCAAACCACTGTTTGGAGTCATTGAAATGAATAGACAAATACCCAAATTTTTTTTGGATTACAGCCATGAGTCACCATGGCCAGGGCATAATTTCTATGGGACTTCTAATCCTCACCATTTTCAACCACTATCTTCAATATAAACAAGTGGGAAGAGAATTAATTCAAAAGTATGATAAATTTCAAGTTGGTTTAACTTTTTTATCTTTTTTCAAAACTAATGCCATTGTCTCTGACTATACTTTTGCTTACTGCTACTATTTTGTCATTACTCTAATATTCAAAAGTGCTAGGGCACACAAAAATCTTGTCTGGCTTATATTTACAGTCAGTCTGTGCAGGCATAGATGGAATCTGCTATGTAACACCTCAGGAACATGGATCACACAAGTCTTAGTCCCACACAGTATTTACAGTCACATGGGGAGCTCTCACACGCACTTTGTCTCACATAAGCTCACTTCTTTCTGGCTTCCTTCCCCAGCTCCCCCTGCCCCCAACTCCTAAGTGCCTCTTCTCCATCTCCTTCAGTTTTCTTTCAGGTACTCAAGAAAACTGCAAACTCAGCTCTGACCTCGGCCCTGATAGAAAAGTGAAAGAATACATCACTCATACTGAATTTGGAACGGAGCCTGTGGAGTGAGAAAACTCTTCCCTCTGCCTTGCAATTCATCATTCACTATTCAGCTAGGAACAGGGCTGTCCTTTCTGTGGAGAACTGTGATTTCAAATTGCAAGGGACCATAGTTGTCAAGATGCCAAAACTCTATTGTCCTATTACCTCCATAGAGAAAACTAAGAATCTTGCTTTAATAATAAAAAAATGACTATGAAAGAAAGCTGGGAAAGCACAAGCTACCACGTTCTAAAGTGTTGCCCATGGGAATTGTTGGAAGGGCTCCCACTAGTCTGCATGGTACAGGTGGAAGCATTCCTCCACATGTACCCTCAGAGGTGTTAGTTCCAATTGGGGCTCAAAGAAAGAGTTTTACAAAGGCTTACATAATAATATTTCTATGAAATAATCAAATTGTTCACATTAAACATTACCTCTGTGCCCAGAACTATAGGCTAAGCCGTTTTCAAGCAATAAATCCTTTTCAGAAACTTTACAGTGAGGCTGCTCAGGCTGGAACAACAGCAACAATAAGCAATACCTAAATAATTGTCTTAAGTTAAGTTTCTATTGCTGTGGTAAAACACCATAACAAAAGCAACTTTTGGAAGAAAGAGTTTATTTGTCTATGGTAGCATTTTCTTGATTACTGATTGATGTGGGAGGGTCCAGCCCAATGTTTGCAGTGCTACCCTGGGCAGGTTTAAGGAAGGTGGTGGAACAAGAGCCTGAGGAATAAGCCAAGAAACAGCATTCCTCTGTGGTCTCTGCTTCAGTTCCTCCCTCGGCTTTTTCAGAGACAGATATGATATTACCTCAGACTTAAGGGTTGGGAAAAGATTTGATGATCAAATGGACCTAAGAAACAAGCAAGTGTAGCAATCCTAATATTTAACAAATTAGACTTTAAACTAAAATCAATCAAAAGATATGAAGAAGGTAATTTCATCACAGGAGAAACCCATCAAGATGAAGTCTCAAATCTGGACATCTATGCCCCAAATACAAAGAAACATTCATAAAAGAAACATTACTAACACACTAATCACACATAAAATCTCACACACTTACAGTGGGGGATTTCAATATTCCACTCTCAACACTAGACAGGACCACCAGACAGAAACTTAACAACGAAACACAGGAACTAACAGAAGTTATGACCCAATTGGGTTTAACGGACATTTATAGAACATTCCTTCCAAACACAAAAGAATATACCTTCTTCTCGGTGCCACATGGAACCTTTCCTAAAATCGGTCACATACTCAAGAACATAGCAAACCTGAATAGGTACAAAATATTGTAATAAACCCCTGTATCTTATCAGATCATCACACCAGGTTTTAATGTTGGAATTCAGCAACACAAATTACAGAAATCCTACAAACCCATGGAAATTGAATAATGCACAATTGTACCATTCCTGGGTCAAAGAAGAAATAAAACAAAATAAATTTAAAAATTTCCTGGAATTCAATGAGAAGGAAGACACAACATACCAAAACTTATGGGACACTTTGAAAGCAGTGCTAAGAGGAAAGTTCATAGCACTAAGTGGCCACATGAAGAAACTGGAGAATAGTCACACTAGAGATTAAAAAGCACAACTGAAAGCTCTAGAACAAAAAGAAACAACTCACCCCAGAGGAGTAGACAACAGGAAATGATCAAATTGAGGGATGAAATCAATAAAATAGAAACTAGGAAAACAATACAAAGAATCAATGCAACAAAAAGTTGGTTCTTCAAGAAAATCAATAATATAAACAAAACTAACCAAACTAACCAAAAGACAGAGAACATGCAAATTAACAAAATCAGAAATGAAAAGGGGGACATAACAATGGACACTGAGCAAATCCAGAGACTCCAGAGACTCTTTAGGTCTCTGTACTCCACAAAATTCAAAAATTTAATGGAAATGAACAATTGTCTGGATAGGTATCACTTACCAAAGTTAAACCAAGAACAGATAAGCAATTTAAGTAGATCTATAAACTCTAATGAAATTCTTTCAGTGCAGAATTCTACCAGAAATTCAAAGAACAGCTAATAGCAATACACCTCAAATTGTTCCATACAATAGAAACAGAAGGGTCATTGCCAAACTCTTTTTACAAGGCTACAATTACCTAGGTACCCAAGCCACACAAAGACACAACTACAGACCAATTACCCCTCATGAACAATGATGCAAAAACACTTAATAAAAAATATTGACAAATCAAATCAAAGAACACATCAGAGAAATCATCTACCATGACCAAGTAGGCTTCATCCTTGGGAAGCAGGAATGGTTCAACATAAGACAATCCATCAATGTAATCCACCATATAAACAAACTGAGAAAGAAAAACACATGATCATCTCACTAGATGCTGAAAACGTCTTTGACAAAATCTAACACCCCTTCATGATTAAGGTCTTGTAGAAATCAGGGATAACAGGAACATACAAAAATATAATAAAAGCAATATACAGCAAACCAACAGCAAACATCAAACTAAATGGAGAGAAACTCAATGTTATTCCTCTAAAATTAGGAACAAGACAAGGTTGCCCACTCTCTCCAAACCTCTTCAATATTGTACTTTAAGTTCTAGCTAGAGCAATAAGACAACAAAAGGAGATCAAGGGGATACAAATTATAATGGAAGAAGTCAAACTTTCACTATTTGCCAATGACATGATAGATTTCATAAGTGACCCAAAAAACTCTCCAGGGAACTCCTACAGCTGATAAACACCTTCAGCAATGTGGCAGGATACAAGATTAACTCAAAAAATCAATAGCCTTACCATATATATATATATATATATATATATATATATATATATATATGATATATATATATATGATAAAGGGGCTAAGAAAGAAATCAGAGAAACACCACCCTATATAATAGCCACAAACAACATAAATATCTTGGGGTAGCACTAACCAAACAAGTGAAAAACCTATATAAATAAGAACTTTGAGTCTTTAAAGAAAGTATTAAAGAAGATACCCAAAAATGGAAATATCTCCCATGCTCTTGGAGCCATTATATGTAGTGAGATAGTCATTCTGTGGCACTGACCATGCCCATTGGGGGTGGAGCCATGGGCAGATGCGACCTGTGGAAGGAGGTCGGAGGAAGGGGGGGAGGAGCTCTCTTGCTGGCAGGACAGGAGAGCATCAGGTGAAATTTCCTGGTGTTCATCTGTCTAGGTTGTAAGTTATTTCTCCCTGAATAAACATTTATTCGGCCTATTTGTTTATCCTGATCCTTATTTAACCGCAATAATTATAGGTTTAAAGAGATATCTAGTTCCAGGGAAATATCCAGAGATCTACAAGGATGACCCCCAAATGACAATCTAAGCAATTCTGGAGAGGCTACCTTACGCTCCCTTCCCTGATAATGAGATTGATGACTACCTTATATGCCATCCTAGAGCCTTCATCCAGTAGCTGATGGAAGCAGAAGCAGACACCCACAGCTAAATACTGAGCCAAACTCCTGGAATCTAGTTGCAGAGAGGAAGAAGTGATGAGCAAAGGAGTCAAGACCAGGCTGGAGACACCCACATAAACAGCTGACCTGAACAAGGGGGACCACATGGACCCCAGTCTGATAGCTGGGAAACCAGCATAGAACTGACACAGACACCCTGAACGTGGATGTCTGTTAGCAGGACTGGGCAGTCTATGGGGCCTCTAGTAATGGATCAGTATTTATCCCTAGTATAGGAATGGACTTTGGGAACCCATTCTACATAGATGGATACTCTCTCAGCATACACATATGGAGGAGGACCTGGGCCCTGCTCTAAATGATGTGACAGACTTTGAAGACTCCACATGGAAGGCCTCACCCTCCCTGGGGAGCAGAAAGGGAATGGGATATGGGTTGGGAGGGGAGAAGGTGAGGGTGAGGGAACTCTGACATGAAAAACAAGCTGTTTTCAAATTTAAATTAAAAAAATTATCATTAGTAAAAAGTCATCTAAAATTGATGCTAGATTTCCGGAGCTGGCAGATTTTAAAACTTTCCAAAAAGAAATATAACACATATAACCACAGGTGATCTAACAGTTCAGCAATGACTGAATTGGAACCACTGAAGCAAGCACATTAATATTCCTACAGGGAAATAAATGCATGCTCTGATGAGTGGAATAAAGTTTAGAATGGCGTCACATGATTTATTTTTGCTCATAGAACCAGTTTTTACAAAGGAACTGAGATCAGGTTCTGTGTTTCAAGGTTTACACTGCTTTCAGGGATTGAGGGTTTTGATGCAGGGGTACTATTACAGTTTTTATTTTCTTTGACTTTTCACAACTCATATGAAAGTTTAAAAAAATCTAGTCTTATTTCACAGGTAATTAGACTGCAGTTCAAGATGATCATATATTTAACCCAGATCATATGGCCTTTAAGTATTTAAATTTTGTATGTTTCAAACCCAAGTCTACACATTAGCATTAGCAACCCCATTCATTGCTTCTACATAGCTTTTCTATGATTTTCATTGCCAAAGAGGAGTTAGTACAAGAGATCATGGAGACAAGAATAAAGTGCAAAGTTGTAGAGAGGAGGCATCTCAGAAATGACTGCCACTTGCTCAATAAAGGGACAGAAGTGGGTCAGACATTTCTATTCCCAGGCCTTTTACCCCTAGCACCTGTGACCATGTGCCCTTTTCCCACCTGAACACAAGCTCTTGCATAAAGCCAGGCTTGGCTTCACTTCTCATGCCATGTGTAATGAACAGCTAGCTATTCCACAAATCCCTGAGCATTCTGAGTCTCATACTGCTTTAAAGAGGGTCCAAGTCTTAGTGCTTCCACTAAAGAAACAAAACAATCAGTATTTTTCTAACACCAGGAAGCTATTTACTAATGTGAAAATTAAAAACAGAGCTGCAAGGCAAAACACACTAGGTGGCAGAAGGTGACATCACAAAACATCACTCTGTCCATTTTACTCTGGCACTATTATGATTTGTAATAAACACAATTGATGAAGTAAGTGACCTTCCATCCCTAAAGTTGTCTAAACTAAAATTGAACATTTATGACTCAAATATTTTAATTTCTCACATCTGCAAGAACTCTACCACAGCTAAAGTACCAAGTAACATGAAATGTAAAACCTGCCATTTGATTGTAGCACCTGATTCCTCACCTTACACCATGAAATGCTCTCTTTACTTGCTAATACTCCAGGCCAACTGCTCAAGTTAGGAACAGGAAAGGGCACAGGAAATACACAACATTCCAAAAGGGAAAAAAAATCACATTTCCAGGGAAAATGCTAAGAAGCTGAAAGGGCTGTCAAGTCACCAGACCCTCAAATGAATCTAGTGTCTTCAAAAAATAAAGAGAGTCCTTGCACAGAGTGACTTAGCTTGGCACAAAGAGAAGGAAGGAGGGGAGCCAGATATGGACTTGAAGCCTACCTCTGCCCCTAACTGATGATGTGACCCTGAAAAAGGTTGCCTTAAGAAACCTACATTCTCTCATCTAGGGGCATTAACTTCATAGAGTTCTTACAAAATTTTTAAAAATGGCAAGTGTGAATCTTTTAGCACACTGCTTGGTTAAAAAAATATTCATCACTCTAGAATGGAGCAAAAATAATGGACTTAATATAACAATCCCAGAGTGCTGCTGTGGCCCTTGAGACCATATTCTCATGAAGAACACAGCTCTAGCATTACTCACTCAAATCATTCCTCCCCCATAAGAGAGGAATTTATCTCAGAACAACTGTGAATCCATGCAAGGCTATTTATATATTCATCAAAATGGTTTCTTGCCAACATGGTTTTTTTAGTACCATGTCAATACTGAGAAGCACAGACTGATAGCACAAGACAGAGGTTGACCTTTGTGTGAGTCTATGTATGATGGGAGAGAGAGAGAGAGTCTCATTCCATAGTGCTGGCTCTCCTTAGCTATATAGACCAGTTTGGCCTTGAACTCACAGGGAACCACTGGTCTCTACTTCCTGAGTCTTGAGATTAAAGGTGTGCACCCTCACAACCAGCAAGTTATAAATTCTTTCATTTCAGTCTTTCCCATCTCAATTAATGTCACATAACATCTAAGTATCACTCTAAATCCCTGGCCTTTTTCCACAATACATCTCAACCCCATCACTACCACAGTGCATTTAGAAAGCCTCTCAGCTCCTAGATCTTCTGTAATCTCCATCTCAAACTCAAAGCAACATCCTCTCTCACATGTCCTGCAGGTAGTATCCTCCTTTCTGATTTTGTCCCCTGCATTTATCCCCAAAATGAAGTTCTCTACTAAAAGGCCGTTGTTGTTACTTTAAGACAAGGTCTTTCCATGCATCTTCATGCTGGCCTTGAACTCATAAGGTAGACCTGGCTGGTTTTATCTCCTAAGTACTATGACTATGGGCATGTACAACCACAGATGAATTAAGTGTTCATGTGCTTTCTCACAAAACTTTCAAGAAACTCTTGTGCACACTAAAGAAAAACCCAAATGCATGTCACCTACGTCACCTGCACTGTGACCCTTATCCAGAAGACTCTAACATTGTTCGAGCTCATTCCGCTATGGAACCTTTTACTCACAGGAAAGCCCTGGATTCACTCTTTACACCCCATTTCCCTTCTTATTATTCAAGATCCTTTTAAAGATCCTATACCCAGAACCTTCAATCTGGTGATCCTATCATTTATTAGCACATGAGTCTGTTTTGATATTTTAATTTTCTCATCATATTTTTGTGCACTGTGTGCCTTCTTATGGAAAATGATTTCGGTTTTGGTTTGTTTTATTGTTGCTTTGAGATAGGTTCTCATGTAACCTAGGCTGGCCTCAAATTTATTAAGTAGACATGGATGCCCTTGAATTCTTGATCCTCCTGTCTCTATCCCCAGAATACTGGGATAAAAGCCATGTATCACCATGCCCAATTTATGCGTGCTGAGGACTGAACTCAGAGCTTCATGAATGAAAGGCAACTACTCTACCAATTGAGATATATCCCCAGGCCTCTGTGTGTGTGTGTGTGTGTGTGTGTGTGTGTGTGTGTGTGTGTGTGTGTGTGTGTTTTAATTTTTTTTTCTCCCTCTACCTATTCTTTGGTATATAATAAGCCTAAACACATATAAACTAAAAGCTAACTCAGTCCCTGGCATGAATAATAACTACTTGATGAATTCATTCATTAATCTCTTCTCCACCAGTCAAGAGAAAAGCCCACGTGTTTAATTGCCCTATGACTTCCTCTTTGGAAAGTGTCCTAAGGGCCCTATCCCCTTGAAGAATTGGGGTGGGCGTGGAGACAGGGATTTGGCTCTTTCAAATTTAGGCCCTAACTGAATTATGGGGATGCAAGCAGGATTTACGAGCTGTGTCACAACCAAAGCAACTTTAAGAATGAATCTTTGCCTTGGTGTCCTCACTGTTGCATGGTCTTGTCACCTCCTAACAAGTTCAGCATGTACCTCAGAACAGATGAACCCAAGGGGATTCCAGAAGAAGCATAGATTTCCACAGCCAGTGTCCCTGCTTAGAATACAACAAGCCACACCCACTGACCCAGAAGATGCACAAAGTCTGCTTAAGATAAAGAGGAACCTGTGGAGCTGAGCCACAGGAGGCCTATAGTCTCTGTGTGATTTAAGAGAGGATACTCTGCTTTTCATGCCCTTTCCTGAGTTCCTTGTCATGAAGTTTGAAATATCTCACAGCTTGGTTTTTGCAAAGAAAACAGAAAACCTAAGCTCCACTACTTCCCACCAAACCTTGAAAGTAAACTTGAAATGTCTTCAAAATTGCATTTTGTATTTGGTCAACCTCAAGCAAACAGAATACTAAAAATACTACCTGTTTTCTCTTCCACTCCCCAAGGTATGAAAATTATAACTTGACACAGGGTAGAAAACAGACTTACCGGCTTCTATGCACTCTGGCTTCATGCAGTACTCCTGTTTAGCTTGGAAGCTGAGGAGACCTTGACTCACTGAAAAAACAGACCAAAATAAATGACTGACTTGAAGCAGACCACCATGGTGTAAAACACATTTGGGCACAGATGATGCAAGACATTTGCTATTAGTTCATGCTTCTCAGTATTGACATGGTAATCAAAACTCTCATTGGCTCAACTCCAAGGAACACTTTGATGAATATGGAAACAGCCTGGTTAGGACTCATGGTTGTTCTATAATTAATTCCTATAATATGAGGGAGCAGTGGGTTGAGCAGGTAAAACTGGAGCTGTGTTGAAGAGTCTGGTCACCAGGGCCACAGCAGCACCTGGAAGCTTGCTAGAGTGTCCATTCTCGCTCCAATTCTCCTGGTTCAGAAAATCTGGTTGTGAGGCACAGTCATTGAATGTGCTTTTGATTTGGTTGGCAGAGATTGAACTCAGAGCCTCTCCCAAACTAAACAGGCTGTATTATGGATACACACACACAGACACAGACACACAGACACACACACACACACACACACACACACACACACACACACACACACCACATTCCTGTACAACTGAAATGGTTTGAACACATGTTTAGTTTTCCCAACTGGCAACAACCTATCAGGAATTTCCAGGCTTTTGACACAACAATGTCTTCTACAAAGTTCATGCTTGGGAATCATGCAATAAATTCACTAAATAACAGCATGTTTTTAATCCCATAGTATTTAAAAGTAAGTTAGGGATTTGTTTTGGGCCACATACATGTCTTTGGCTGCATACAGGATACAGGCACAAGTTGGACATGTGTGCTTTTGCAAAAGAATGCATGGTTTTTTAGCTCCAGGTAGAATCTGAACATTAGCAAATGTGAGTCTAAAATCTAAAGCCTTTTTGAAATAACTGTTTTTCCTCCATATCTGAAGAAGTTGAGAGGCATTCATTATTGCAGTGCTCTGTGAGCAGAAACAAAGAATCTTTGAAGATATGGCCATGAAGAAATAGAACGTGGGGGCTGAGAAGTGCAATCAAGAAGCCTGAGTGTTTATGTTTCGGCTCAAGATGCAGAGCTGCAGATCACCTGCCAGAGTGGCATGTCTGCTTATTTATGAACCCACATCCTAAGAGGAGCTTGTTTTGTCTTTGTTCTTTTCTCTGCTCCCATCCTCCAAACAGCCTTTTTATCTGTGTTACATTATAGATTCAAGAAACTGCCTACAGAATCACTCAGGCCTATTTTCAAAAGAAGTTTTATAACCTAAAAAGAATGTTTTGATTTTTTGCAAGAAAAAAGTAGGTAAAAATATATAGACACCATAAAGATCAGTATGGGACATTCCAATGTATCTTGATGGTAAACCATGGGGAGTTCTTTCTTTTCTACAGTTTTTATGTATTTACCAAATGTTCTTTAATGAGCAGGTGGTATTTTTATAAAGGTAATATAAAGTTTACTATACATAACAACTTTATTACTCTAAATAATACCTTAGTGATATTAGCTTTATTTTTAAAATCTTTTGAGATGGGAAAATTGGGGATTCAAGGACAATCTTTGTCACACTGCAACTTCCAAGCCAATCTGGGCTACATGAGAAGCTATCTCAAAGTCCTCCAAAACTAGCCTTATTTCTTTCATTAAAAAAATAATCATTGAGACAGGTGGTGGTGGCACAGGCCCTGAATCCCAGCACTCAAGAAGCAGAAGCAGGCGGATCTCTGTGAGTTCGAGACCAGCCTGGTCTGCAAGAGCTAGTTCCAGGGAAAGTTCCAAAGCCACAGAGAAACCTTGTCTCGACAACCCCTCCCCCCAAAAAAATCCTTGACACAGACATGTAAGAAATTCAAACTAATTTCCGTTCTTTTTACCTGACAGTGTGTGTGTGTGTGTGTGTGTGTGTGTGTGTGTGTGTGTGTGTGTGTGTGCATGAGCAGTTTTGAATATAATTAGTTGGGACACAAAGACCCTATCCCTCAAAAGAGAATACTATATCCATCATTGTTAAAGTCCTCAAAACAGACAAGGATCATCAAACACAAATACAGAAAATGAAGAAACAGAAATGAATGAAATGGAAAATATTTTACCATAAAACAATCAAGCATTACTTTTTTACTGATTAGAAGCTTTAAACCACTTCAAGTGGCCTCCCAAGAGCCACTGGAGACATCCACAGATTAAGAGTATGAGAGTGAAACTGGTAACATGGCTCACTGAGAGAGTACTTACAGCACATGTGCAATGTCCTGATTTCCACCCCCAACACAGAAAAACAAAACAGAGAGCATGAGAAAGACCACACAGCTGAGGTCATCATCACCCAAGTACCAACTAGAACCTTCAAACCAAATCAAGGCCACTTCCTGCTCCTATTTCTGTGAAGGGCCTTTGGATTATTGACATTTGGGAAGAAATGCAATCATTGACCATATTTTATGGTATATGAAAAGTATATGAGATTCAAGCTTCAGCATCTAGAAAGCATATCTCTCAGGCTCCTGTTTGTGCACATTTTGCCTGTGGATGCATTAGTGACACAATGAAACAGAGTCCTGCAACAAGGAAGTGTATGACAGTGGAGCCAAAAATATTTACTATCATCTGGTCTTGACAGGAAAAGCTTGCAGACCACTGCATCTGAGAAACAGATTTCAGGAAGGAAAGCAAAGGGAAGAAGAAAAGAACACTTTAAATAAATTGTTTGCAGGTCTGGTTCTCTGAAACTACCTCAACCCACTGGCAATGATTCTTTCTGTAGATGACAAAGCCAAAGGGGATGTAAGGCAGGATACCAGACATTGCAAAATTATTTTGAACAGGCAGCGCACATACTGCAATGTCAACAAGGAAATACCTTCAAGGGAAGGTCCTAACTAGAATGTTGTCATGAAGACCATTGCTTTTCAGGCATTTAGCAAGTAAGATGAAGAGTAGGGGAGCCTTGGTGGGGCAGACAGTGAAGAAAGTTGTGCACAGGGCAAGAAGCATTGTGCTGAATTAGTTGACAAAAATATAAAGATTTGGGTGGTCAGGGTCATGGGAGGGTAGGAGAGAAGGAGGAAGAACTGGGATATGTAAAATAAGAAAAATAAATAAATAAAGTCACCAAGAAGGTGCAACATATATATATATATATATATATATATATATATATATATATTCCATGGTGGTAAGGCCTAGAATACCAGCATTTGGTTGGGAAGCAGAGGCAGGAATATGACAGTAAGTTGTCATATTCTCAGCCATATCTATATAGTAAGTTCCAGGACAGACAGGGATACATGGTGAGAACCTGTTCACAAATAAGTGGATGGATAGATGGATGGATGGACTGACAGACGGACGGATGGATGGACGGACACGGACAGACAGACAGAAAGACAGATAGATATTACTGAGTGTGGACCCTCAGGTAGATGCACTCTGAAACAATGTTCCCCAAATGTGCTTGTGAAAACCAATCTTCTGGTGTCTTGTGAAAACGCAGACTGTGAATCAGTAGATCTGGGGGTAGAGCTCAAGCTCTCAAGTGATCCTGATGCTTCCAGTTACAAGACCACACTGAATAGCAAAAGTAGAATGAGGCTACACCCTTAGCTGGTCCTGTTTATTGTCAATCATCACTAGATCTTCTCCAGAAGAGTCAAGGTGAGAGACAGGTTAGTAACATACTGGGAAGTTATCTTTCCTAACCGAACCTCCTCCATAAAATAATGCTTGATTTAGTGAAGTTGACTATAACTAAAATCTTTAGTGTTTGTGTAAGAAAACATTTTCTCAAAAGAAACAACGATTTGCCATAACCACCTTCTAGAATGCTATGGTCTCCAAGTGTAATGATCACAGAGGTAGAATTGAAGAAAGTTGCAATATCATGGAAATGAGCACATATTTTGACTTGCATGATGACCACTTGGATTTGTAAGTCTGGCAGTATGTGTAAACCTAGCCCCTTAATCACTTCCCACATCATGTGTAGTTCCTTGGCCTACCCATACAATTTCTCCTCCAGTTTTAAATTTCAGGAAGTGGATAATCTAAAGCCTACTTTGGAGAAACCTCACAACAGTTTTTAAGAACCACAAATTCAGTCACAAGAATAGGAGGTTTAGCTTCACCAGAAAGCAATATACTGATCTAATTTCCATAGATAACACGGAAAGATGGTTTGCTCATTTTAGCAGGGTTCTCAACCACACAAGCCTAACTCTTTTAAACGTTAATTACTGGGTTTCTCTTGCCAAAATAAACATAGCCTCCCGCATCCTGTATATGCCAAGGAATGTTTCAAGGCCTGCTGCATTTCAAAGTACACCTAGAATCTCCTAAGTATAGGGCTTGTTTCTAGGTGACCTTCAAGCCAATGAAATACTATGAGTTTTATAAGAAAAACTTTACAGAGGAAAATAGCCAGGGGTTTGGAAAGCCTAAACTTTTGAGCATCCCTTGACCCTTTTTCAGAGATTTCATCCCCCACCCCCAGGAATATGCTTTTTTCTACACATTCTCTCTGAATACTTCATTCTCTCAGAAGTTATTAAAGTAATTAAATCACAGTGCCTTTAAAATCCTAAGAGGAAAACCTCTGCTTTCCTCCACATTCATTTGTAAATCTATTAGAAAGGTGGAGTTAACCATTTTGCATCTATCAAAATCACTGGATTTAAAAAGACTTGAAGAATTCTATTTAAGGACTGACTTATCTTTTGTGAATTGAACTTTGTAACTTGCTCAAGCAAACTTGAACAAAAGTCGATCAAAAAGGAGTTCCAGTTTGGTTGTTCCCTCACAAAACAAATGCAAATATCTAACTATGAATTCATAAACACTCATTTTGTGAAATGTAACACATGATTTTTTTTTTGATTCAGTGCAATCGAATCCACCAGTCATTCCGAACCACTTTGCCTCCTGGACTATATATTTGGCACTGAAGAAAAGCCTCCTTATTCATAGACATAGCTCACCGAAACGAAGTGTGCATTCTTATTTTTTTTTTAAACATAAGCAAACAGCCTGCATTATGACAAGGGTTTCTAGAATAAAAAAAAAAGTTTTTTCCATAGATGTCCAGTTCTTCTGGCCTCTGGAGTTCCACTTACCTAGAAAGAGCAGTGTGCCCAGCACCAGAGTGCCACCAATGAACAGGGCCAGTGCAATTCGAATACCTCGGTTGGTCCCCTTGCCAGGCTCCATGGTGCTCCCTGTTTCTGCTTCCATCAGAAGGGCTGAAGAGAAGACTCAGAAAGAAAGTCACTTTTCGTGGTTTGGTAGCTGGTCTCAAGAGTTTGTCAGGCGTTGACATCCAAGACTCTCCTGCTAGTCTGCTAATAGACGGCTTTAAAAATTCCTGTCGGGAAACTTCCCCTCAACACCCTTTCTCACAATAATCTTTCACAAATGAAATAAAAGAAACTCAAAAAATTGGTTGCCTTGGCTCTCCTTTGACTAGACAAAACAAACAGCAGTTGCTTTATCTTGGTGCTCTCTCTCAGCAAAGTCCCTCTCAAGCGACTGTTTGGCAGGCTTTTTGCTCACACAGTCCGAGTATATATGTTTTACTAGGTTGCTGCACAGATGTTTTAGCTATTTAAATGTATAGTCACTTTGGGAGGGGAAAAAACAATTGTCTTTATCAAAACTGGATTCTCAAGCTCCCCCTAACTATGATAAGTTAGGTGGCGAGAACAGTCTGCATCCACTGCAAAGTCTCAATTAGTCACGTAATTCTGCTATGATAGTCATTCTCCTTGTCTGAACTGTCGTCCTCAAAAGTTACTCTTTCAGTGTGCAAGTCCCCTTTTAAAGCCTTCTAAGAGTTCCTAGGATATCCTGGAGCATTTTATTTTAGGAACTTTGTGTATGATAGCTTGTGCCAAAAATCAGTCAGTCCACTGCAATGCAACATAGCAATTAAGACAACCTACAGAGGCTCTTGGTTTGGACTAGAGCTTTTTATTTATTTCTCCTTTTTTTAGGAAGAGGAAGAGTATTCTTTGTGGTGCTAAGAATTGTTCAAAAGACAGTTAAGTATATGAATTAAGCTTATTAGCAACCACAAAAGATATAGTAAAAGATTTTTTTTTCCTGTGTGTTTTGACGGCACCCATGTATTTTTTTTTCTCTAGCACCTCCCAGGCAACACTGTTCAGTATGTTTTATTGTTTTCCTAAGTGTTTACTTAGCAGCTTCCCAGAATGAATTCGAACTTATTTGGTTCCACTAGAAAGACTGATTAATCACAGTCTTTGATCATGTTCAAATTTGAACTATGAAAAGCTACTTTCTTCAGGGGGAAAGGTAACTGATATTTCAATACTATTGAAATGGTTTGGGTTTTATTAATTAATGATAGAGATATCACTAATTCTCGGCACAATGAATTACCACCACCTTTTCCTGTCCAGCCAGAGGAAATAAGATGGTGGAAGTGTAGAAGGATGATTCAGGAATATATGTAAACCAGGAAAACACAATTTGTGCATGTAGCTTTGACAGTGACACCAGAATTCAGCAGATACTAATTAAGGACACACAACTTGACTATATGCTCATGTTCCTCTCTGGCTAGGTTTAGTCTGGCCTTAATTCCACAGCCTGGGATCCTCCCAATTTTAAAAATGAATTCCATAGCATATATTTCTTTTTGGGCTTTTCCAGGCAGAATTTCTCTGTGTAACAGCCCTGGATATCCTGGAACTCACTTTGCAGACCAGGCTGGCCTTGAACTCAGATCTAGGTGTCTGCCTCTGCTTCCCAAATGCTGAGGTCAAAGGCATGTGCTACTACCACCCAGCTCCATAACACACTTTAACCTTACTTTCTGCTTGTTTCATAGCACCCCAAACTCAGGCAGGATTGGAGCAGGCTAACTAACAACATCATTGCATGTTGGAGTCATTCTGTACTCAATGGCTGTTGACAGTATCTCATTGCTAATGTATTTCCCCCAAGAATGTTCTTGGATCCATAATAAATCTTAGGAGTATGAGTTTCATGAGATAAAGGACGGTGTCTGGGATTTTCAGTGTTATAGCCCTAGCAAAAACAGTTCCTGGCCTAACATGGTGAAAGAGAAAAGAAAAGCAAGGATAATGACTCATTATTCCTAGTTAAAAAGAAGGGGATAGGGACAAAATCTCCTAAGCAAATTGGGAGCATGGGAGAAGAAAGAGGGAGTTAGGAGGAAGAGGAGGAGAAAGGTGGGCATGACTGAGCAGGAAGACTTTGTCAGGGAAAGAATAGAGGAGACCAAGAAAAGAGATACCATAGTAGAAGGAGCCATTTTAGATTTTAAGAGAAATCTGACACTAGGGAAATATCCAGAGATCTACAAGAATGAACCAAACTAACAATCTAAACAATAGTGAAGAGGTTACCTTAAATGTCCTTCCCTGATATAGAGATTGAAGACTACCTTATATGCCATCCTAGAGCCTTCATCCAGTAGCTAAAAGCAGATGCCCACAGCTAAACACTGAGCCAAATTCCTGGAATCCAGTTGCAGAGAGGAAGAAGTGATGAGCAAAGGTGTCAAGACCAGGCTGGAGAAACCCATAGAAACTGCTGACCTGAACAAGGGGACCTCATGGACTTCAGTCTGATAGGTGAGAAAACCAGCATAGGACTGACCCAGATTCCCTGGATGTGGTGTTAATTGGGAGGACTGGGCAGTCTATGGGACCTCTGGTAGTAGATCAGTATTTATCCCTAGTATATGAATGGACTTCGGGAGCCCATTCCACATAGATGATTACTCTCTCTAGTCTAGACACATGGGGGAGAGCCTGGGCCCTGCTCCAAATGATGTGACAGACTTTGAAGACTCCCCATGGAAGGCCTCACCCTGCCTAGGAAGCAGAAAGGGGATGGGATGGGGCTTGGTCGGGGGAACAGGGGAGAAAGGGAGGGTGCGGGATTGATGTGTAAAACAACCTTGTTTCAAATTTCACTAAAAAAATGTAATTGTTGTCGCTCCTTCTGGAGTCCATCTTCACTTCTGCTAATGGCCTCTTGGGCAAAGAACTGCCCCCACCTCGACCACTGACTTGGCCATGCGGTTCTATGTGCTTGCAGGAAACAAACATAGAAGACTGCTTAAACTTGCCAAGTCAGGGTAAGATAGCCTTTCTACCTCCCTGCTTTGTGTGTGTGTGTGTGTGTGTGTGTGTGTGTGTGTGTGTGTGTGTGTGTGTGTGTGTGGTCTGTCAGGTTCTTTAGGCCTTAGCCAAAACTGGCTGTACCAACATTGCCATGAGACCTTTGGTGATGCACCATTTGGAAGTTGCCCATCCATACTTCCTGCCTACCCTAGTATTGTTATCTTCCTTCTCAGGTCTTTGATGAGGTTGAAGATTAAACTATCACAACTATTATTCTCTCTTCCTAGTTAGATATATTAGGTACTAGACTTAAGTGTTCTAGCTTAGGACAACTCTATTGTAAACTCCATCATGCCTTCACCCTAGGACTGGATATGTATGTCTTAAGTTTGTATGTTCTCAATTTTCCTTTTCTTAAAGCACATTTATTTATTTATTTATATAACCAAGTCCATTTAACTGAAAACAAACATTTATAGACAATATTTGGGAATTTGGGCGTCGTTCTTTCCAAACTACTTCCTGCTGGTAAGGGGCACTGTCATGGGGAATTCTAAGAAGTTGCAGAAATCCTGGCTGTAGTCTGTAAGGCTGTTAAAGCACAATTTTTATTCACTGTTTTGTATATACTTTTGTATCAAGCCTAAATCTTTTCTTCAGACTAAAAGGGAAATTGTAGTGAGATAATCACTTTGTTCACACCTGTGGCACTGACCACACCCATTGGGGGGAACTAGGTCTGAAGAAGGGGCCCTGGGGAGCTCTGTGGCTTGCAGCATAGGGACAGAAGAGTATCAGAAGGCATCTTTGAGACCAGAAACCTGCTGGTGTTCATCTGTCTATGTTGTAAATTATTTCTCAATAAATAAAAAAATACCAAAAACAGAGCTTCAGGAACCAGTCTCATCACTTACTCATAAGGGGGCAAGGCTTCTAAATGCTCCATTGATAATGGTACTTCAGGTGAGCAGAGCCCTTGTTTTAATCCCACAGCAAACAAATTCATGTGACAGCAAATGGATTTGTAACTCCAAGATCAAAACTCAACCTCAGGTAGCACAGGACTATACATGGAAAGGTGGAGCCATGGGATCACTGTGAGACACTATGTATCAGCGACTGACAATGCTCCCTGTGCACAGAGAACAGCCACCCAAGGATGACAAGAGAGATCTACCTACCTCTTTCTTTCTCCCCACAATCTCCTTGAACCTTAAGGGTCCTGACTGATTTGGAATGTTGACTGTGAATTGCCAGTTGTAGTAGTCCTCACCTACCTTAGACTGGTGAATCCCCAGAGGTGAGAAAAAGTTGGGAGTTCCTGAGAAGTTACACCCATATATCATTTGCAGACTGGACTTCATCCTTGAACACTCAACATCTGAGTAAAAAAAAAAAAGTAAATTAAAAATACTAAACACACTTTCAGAGATAGTAACAGAAAATGTGATGTTTTCCATTCCAAACTCAGACATGTGTAGAAAAGAATGCATTAACTCATGAAAATAAGTCTATGGAAGTAAAATCACAACTCTCAAGATGTTAAAAATAGCTTGCTGAATATAATGTAATGTGATGAAGGTTCCTTTTACTCACCAAAGAAGTTGAAGTAACATTTGAGAGTGAGTGGGACTGATGAAAGATAGGGTGTTGAGGAATCATTCCTTATAAGGTGTATTCTTCATCATGTGTCATTAAATATTCAGCCTTTGGGGAAATAGTGACTATCTTGCTCTGAAAATAAAAGGCACTTAAAAACAAATTAGGACAAAACACACACACACACACACACACACACACACACACACACATCCTAGGCAAAAATAAGTAAGTTCAAGGCACAAATGAATAATAGTCACAAAAGCCAAACAAGAGGGCTGTAAAAGAAAATACATATGAGCCTAATGTGGTCTATCCCATTTTTTATTGTTGTTGATTTTTGTTTCTTTGTTTGCTTTTGGTTCTTTGAGACAGGGCTTCTCTGTGTAACAGCTCTGGCTGTCTTCAACCTAGCTCTGTAGATGAGATCTATCTACCTGCCTCTGCCTCCCAAGTGCTGGGATTTGAGATGTGAGCCATCACTGCCCAGCTATCCCATTTTTTGTAGATAAAGTTTTGCTGGAAAATTTATTTATGACTGCATTCATGATACACTGTCAAAATTCTATAGTCTGTGACAGCCATTTGGGGGGGGGTGTTGTGAAGCTTAGAATGGTTTACTCTCTGACCCATTGCAGACAAATTTGTTACCACTTCAAATGGCATACAAGACACACCCTGACCTGCATCTGGAAATTGTTCCAATCTATGCTATTGGAACAGAAACTGCTATGTCAAAGAAATTTTAAATGGGTCTTTAGCTGAAACTATAGAATATTATCCTGTGTGTTTGGTAATTAAAACTCATTATCTCCAGGGAAAGGAACTGTCTGAAAAAGGTACTCCTCCAGAGCTGGGAAAATGAATCAAGTCACTCTGCTGGGTAAATTTGTTGATAGTGTGATATACACCCACTTAATTGTTTCATATGAAAACATTTCAAACCAGGTTGGGCTTTAAATGCAATCAATTAGTGTCTCAAAGGTAGATTTCCTGAGACTTTCTCAGGTGCCTGGCCATGTGTAAAGACTCCTGAAAGAAAACCAAGAAGTCAAACTAGAAATTCAAGAATGGGTCAAGTGGACTCAGGCATGGAAAGACTTGAAACCTTTGGCAACTTCACCACAAAAACCCTCCCTAGAGCACACGGGCCTGGTGAGAATAACAGTATCCGAAGGAGCAGAAATCTGGGTGAGATTTCTCAAAAGCAGGGCCTACAAGAGCATAGAGCTTAACAGCACAGAGCAGTGGTTCTCAATCTTCCTAATGTTGCACCCCTTTAATACAGTTCCTCATGTTGTGCTGACTTCCAACCATGACATTATTTTCATTTCATAACTATTTGCTACTGTTATGAATTGTAAGCATTTTTGAAGACAGAGGTTGGAAAAAAG